GTGTACGCTGATTATTTCCATTGGAAAGGAATGTTCCATGTTGGGATTCCGTAAATATTGTAAATTTCCAAAGAAAACCAAAACGGATATCTTCAATGTTAGTGGGACAATTAAGCCCATTTCGGGTTCAACTAAGCAGTGTTATTCAAACTTTGTTTTTACCGCAACCCACAGCAAGAAACACGTTTTGCATTGCGACCCATTTTACCTACGTCTAATAAATCAAAGACAAACTCTCTCCACTGGGTTCATTTATTTAGCATCGACAATTTATAGATATATTTCTTATGATCCACATATATTGGAATTGCACGTATCTATTTGCATTATCTATTTATATTAATATAAAATTATTATGAACACATTTAAATGGAATTACGACAGAAGATGGGCTTGTTTGTTCATAGGCAGCTGATTCCAATTGTGAATACAGGAAGACAATGCTACATGTATATCAGGTGCAGTGTTGAACCTGTTTCTCTCCTTCGTCAAATGAAACACAACACATCATTTTACTACCACAGACAGAATGTACCGGTATTCGTCTTCGACATTGAATCAGGAAATTCACTTCAAATGCAACTGAATTATTCAACAATCTTAACAGCTTTCACCGGCCACGAAGACGAAGGCATTGCACGCCTTCGTAGGTAAGCGCGAGGGGTCTCTTTGTGAGAGACACATGACGTCACTCAGTCCGCAACGAGTTTGACAAACAAGATACATAAACTCAATGAGAAGAGACTATATATATATATATATATATATATATATATATATATATATATATATATATATATATATATATATATATTAATGGTAAATATACACATACTTTTTTGAATTGTACGTCTGATGAATTGGATCGTATTTACGATTCCAATGGAATAAATTATGACCATGGAATATTAGTGTTTAAGCCTTTTTATTATTATTATTATTATTATTATTATTATTATTATTATATATATATATATATATATATATATATATATATATATATATATATATATATAATACGAGCTTACCGCAGTGAAAAAAATAATGATTATATATGTGTGCTGTGCAACATTTAGAGTTGTTTATATTTTTTACTTTCTTTTTTGTCGCGATCTATTTTATCTCTCGACCCATTAAAAGGTCGGGGCCCACCGTTTCAAAAACCCTGAACTAGACGATGGTGTGTGGAAAAGATTCGTTGACTACATTCTTGTGCAGCTGCCGACAAAACCATCTGTCAATAAACGGTTTAATAATTAAACGGACATCAGGTCCCGTTGCCTTGATCAACGGTATTAGAGTTGTTAGATGTTCGATCCTCCGTGAAGGCGAATTCTCAGCCTTCTGTAGCGACTAACAGGTTAAATGAACATGTGGAAAAAACCGATGTCACAATTAAAGATTCAATGGCAATTTGTTCCAAAATTGTGGACACCAGCCGACAAATACGTGCTAAACATAAAATTAGATGAGGGTATGTCGTTATTTGATTCTTTATCAGCTCTTAGCAATTGAAGTAATTTTCTTAGTTATGTATTTTGGGTATTAAAAAGGAAACGAAATTCCCCTCGACGGCCATTTCGTATCTAATAGGATGTGTCATTTGCATTCTTATAGATGGTAATCGTATAATATGACAGATAATTCATAGAAAAGTCTCTTATTCTTATAATTATTAACGTTATAAAAAAGTAAAATCTGTCAAATAATTTTTTAATTTAATGAAATCAGGATTAAGATGAAAATTTATTGACACTTAAATTACATATTATTGTGTTGAATGAAATTTTAATGACTGAAGTTATAAAGAAGAACATTTCTGGCTAATATTTGGGTAAAAGTGAAAGATCTGGAATCATCCGAAAAGATGACATGTTATCATAAATTAATTGGTATGAACACAAAATCGATAATAAATCGAAATTCTTTAAATTTCCTTATTTTTTTTCCCAAAATACCCGGCATTTTAATTCATTTAAAAAAGAGGAAAACAAATGACAATGTTTTGAAATGAGGAAACATTTTAAAATATGAATCGAAATACGCAGATGTTTCTTCAACTTGAAATTTTCTATATTTATGAGGAAGTGCGCTCAGTAAAGCGTTTGTAGACATAGTGATTTGCTATGTGTAGCATAGATGTGGCACAAGGCCGAAAAGTATGAGAGACCCAGTAATGATCGAACTCACTATCCAGTTGTAATTTATCTATCGAGACAAGCTTGCTAATCGTTACACTACGTCGAAGTGACTAAACCGTTTGGAGACATAGATATCATTTGATGAGCGCTGAAGACATAAAATGGAAACTCACATGCAGTGTTGATTTCATATGCCCGCAAGGTCTCTGTCTCTGACTGTTACTTTCTATTTCGCACTCTCTCTCTCTCTCTCATCATCTATCTATCTATCTATCTATCTATCTATCTATCTATCTATCTATATAGATAAATAGATAGATAGAGAGCGAGAGAGAGAGAATTAAGAATATATATATATATATATATATAATAATGGTAATAATTTATGATTCTGACAGTGATGAGCGGTGCGTCCATGAATCATTACATTTAGTCTAGTTTTCTATTGTACAATTTCTTGAAGAAAAACTGTTTGAAATACGTTAAATTCAAATAAATTCTCGTAATTTTACGTCTTTTAATAAGTGTTAATGATTTTATATATATATATATATATATATATATATATATATATATATTGTCACAGTATATATCAAGTCAAATAAAAATTAAAGATTGCCAAGTGACTTTGATTATTATGACAGAAATAACTGTTTGTTCATGAAATATATACTTAACAATTTAATACACTCTTGGTATGCATATCGAAATCCCCAGGCACAAGCGTATATGCTAAATTTCAGTTCCAACCTCTCACCTGCCTTTAAATATACAGTTATTTAAATGTTTTTCACTTTTTTTTTACCAACCAAACCACCCTTTTCTCTCTTTTCTATGTACACTACAACTTTCAAATTATTCTTTAGTTATTTCTACTACACACATCTCAAGATTGAGTTGTCTCCCTTGTTCACTTGCTACTTTCCTTTCTTTTAGCTATATCTTTTTAAAAATGGTTACAGATTATCGTCGTCGCATTCATTTTTTTTTTAATGGTGGATGACGAAAAATTCCAACTGCGTTACTGTAGGGAACTAAATGAGGAGAAGGTCTCGTATTTCAGTCAGTTTACAAGTCCCTTCTACTCCCAACCCGTCATTTTTTCTTTTTAATGAATGGCCGAGTCCCAAAGAAAAACAAACAATTTCCCACCCAAAAAAAAAAAAAAAAAAAAAGCCCAAGCTTTCCTCCGTCTCTCACATCTGTTATACAATGGCAGAGTATTTCTCTCGTTATGGGTCACTGAAGAACTGCTCGAATCTTCAACAGAATACAAAAAACAGAATCTCAAATATTTGGAAATACATTCAAAAAGGCGGTTTGAAGATCAGAGCTTTTCAACGGCATCACTTGAAGAGTCTGGATTGCGTCTCGAACGGGAAAGACCTCTGTTATTTAATAGGCTAGTGTGGTTTTGCGGCCTAGTTTTTGACACAGCGAGCTTATCTCGAAGTAATTTGGATCTACCGCGTTGCCGAAGTAGTTGTAGTTTTCGCATTTGTGTCAGTGCTTAAGATTCAAACCCAACTGATAGATTTATGATAAGCTTCTCCAATTGGAAGATTGGCGTAATACAATCATCATATATTTCTCCTTCATTTAACTTTGTGCCAGGTTAAACTAAGGTTATTAAATATCTGCCTAATCGAGTTGAATTTGTATTTGTAAATAAATCGTACGGATTTAACAATTTAAGAACATCTACAAAAATATTCCGTTGTGTTGGAGTCGTGACAGCCCGTTAATCAGAAGCCCGAAGAAGAGAAGAAAATTTGAATAATTGACCAATAATTCATTTAGAGGAAAGAAATTAGAATGATAGCAAGGAGAAATTGAATTCGTGATTTGTTGAGGTTGTATTTTTCTTCCCTCAATCTCACAGCGATCAGTCTTGAATATGTGAAGTTAACTAATATTAAGTGGTTTAAAAATTAATGTGCCTATTTTTATATTTGTGGGATTGCTGTTAATATAATTTCTGTGCTGTGTGTGTAGCTCGTTAACATGTAGAGAAAAGCTGACTCGAAAACGTAGCAAGACATTCATTCAGTTATCTGAAGTCATTTCTGCCAAGTGAAATGATTCTTATTATCATGAATATTCATTATCCCCACCGTGAAATGTCGCTATTTGTCTATTATTTTTGCTCTTAAATCGACACCCTAATTCCTTTTGCCATTGATATTTTAATTCATTTTTGCCATTGACTGTAAAATGGTTGCTCATCATTATGAAATTAAAACGAAAATCTTCTATGTCCCATCGTTTTCACGTGGACATTCAAAAATTTAACTGCATATAATTATTATTTTAGTCAAGTTGAGAGATTGTTAATTATTTGGAGAAATAACCAAGCCCGACGCTAATGTGTTTCAGTAGTGGGTGAGAGCTTTAAGCCAGTGAGGGACACAAGTAAAAATTTGGTCACTTAAATTGGAAGAGGATATGATTTTTGTGGGACCACCTCTTTAATGTCGACAGGCCTTGAGATAACTATTTCAGCGAGGTTCGCAAAATTTTCGCCGGCAATTCCCAGTCTCTTGCTGTGGGTGGATTTCGTGGGCATTACACTAGTTTCTCACCAGTCCTGTCGCTGTTTTGTGGAAGGCCAAGTATCAAGGGTCAAAAGATCAACGCCATTACTCGAATGTTTGCACACACCAAATGATAAATCGTTTCTCAATGAGCCTCTGCTGAAAAGTAAATTCACTCTTGTTTTTTTTTTTGTTTTTTTTTCAGTTTCGTTGAACCAAATTCGAGATAGAACAGTAAGCCTCGACTTTCTCTTGACAGTAGTCTCAAAGACCATTACTACTAAAGAGAATGCAATTTTCACTTGAGCCAAACTGACTTTTATCGGGCCATATCGCGTTGAAATACCGGTTGCCGTACGACCCCTGAAGTTAAGCAACGTCGAGCCTACTCAGTACCTAGATAGGTGACCAGCTTGGGAATACCAGACGCTGGAAACTTGGATGTGAAAGTGATGTAATGAATAACAGATCGAAAATAGAAATCGGAGAGTCGAGTTCCAATTGCAGTTGGCGTTGTTATGTTTACTTACACGCAAAATAACTTTGGGAAAGGTATAAATTCACCTCTTCTCTCCCCAGCTATGGATAAATTAGTAGAACTGGTATCGGTAAAAATCATTATTATCTCAAAAAAACTTCTTACAATCTAAAAATATTTTCCGGCTTTAAATAACCGGCAAACGGTTGATAATCCTTAAAAACAAATCACTCAACATTTTATATTTAATATTTTTTTTTTTAGATTAGTAACTGTCAATATATTTCTTTCATTTTTTCGAACTACTGTTCTAATCTTGATTATTATAGATATTATAGGTACAACGTTTCAGCCAAATACACTTTTGTCGTCATCAGGTTCCATTGTTTGGTTGATATGGGGTACCTGCTGATTATTGTGTTATTTTGTCCCTGTGACGCCCGTTATTGCAAGTTCCTGCTGAACCAATGATTCACTACCTCATCCGTAGATTGAACTCGCGACCGATAGATGACAATGATTCATATTAATTCATATCCACTACATCACTGACCCAAAGGATATCAATAATGTGTTTTTGGAGATGTGTCACTGTTAGATGGTGCGCATATCACACTGGGGACAATGATTAGTAATTGAGTAAAATTTAACATTTCAGTTGCTGATTGTTTATGTCGGAACCCTCCTTGACTGTCGCAACACAATCTTAGTATATTCCTTTCTCTTTGTCTCTGATAAACTGTGTTAATCTTAGTAAATATCCAACACGAAAAGGCAGTCTGGTCGTGAAATAAATGTTTGTTCGACCTTAGCCTGAAGAAAAACAGAAATAAAATTATAAATCAGGAAAAAAAAGACCGAGAAGATAAAATTGATTGAAATAAACGATAAAAGATGATTGGTTTCTGTTTTTCATAATTTTCCCGTTTTGAACATCCATCCCCAACCAACCTTGTTTCTATGACAACCTAAATGAAATTTCTTCTTACATATCGGACCAAATCTCTCTCTTCCTTTCCTTTTTTCCGGGTTTTTAACATTTCTTATTTTGGCCACCAAAACTCTATCATTATAGACATATCGATATTTTTCTGTCTGCAAAACAGCAGTTTGTAATTTTTTCTATTCTACTCACGGCACTTTAAACAAAGCGTTAACATTTCTAAGGTAGACTATCAGTTTCTTAGATGCAATTTTAACATGTTATTTCCTCAGAATTGAGAAAAAAACTTGAAGCAACAGAAAGATGCTGAGGATACTATGGACCGAACATGTGAACAAAAACGAGGTTTTGGAGAGAATGGAAACAAAAAAGAAACTTATACTTAACATCAGGAAGAGGCAGTTGAAATTTCTGGGATACGTAATGAAGAAGGGGGGCTTGGAAAGTCTGATACTCACAGGACAGATTGAGGGAAAGAGGGGAGAGAGGAAATCAGGAAATCTTGATGGGCTTGAGCGAATGGACGGCAAAACAGGGTTGGGGAGAAATAACAAAAAGACAAAAGATATCAAGGAACATGAAAATGTGGAGGGCCATGATCACCTACGGCCTGAAGGGACACGGAACATAAAGGAAGAAGAAGAAAAACAAATATTAAGATTCTAAGCAAAAAGATATTATTCTTCTTTAATTTCTAAGAAACTGATAATCAAATATAAAGTATATATCTATAAAAAGAACGTATAAACATAAAAAATGTCATATATATATATATGTGTGTGTGTGTGTGTGTGTGTGTGTGTGTAGAGACCAACAACGTGTTTCGACTGATGTATTACTTGTGTTTAGACCTTCGATGACTTTTAAGGACTACTTTAGACCTATACAGCATCTCACCACACACACACACACACACACACACACACACATATATATATATATAGATATAGATATAGATATAGAGATAGAAAGAGAAAGAGAGAGAGAAGTGAGAGAGTGAGAGAGAGAGAGAGAGAATGAGAGAGAGAGAGTGAGAAGGGAGAGAATGAGGCAAAAGTATCGCACCATAGGGATAATTTATTAAAAGCATAAAACATAAAAAAATTTTATTTACTAGTTATTTAATTGCTATATGTGCTGTTCAAAATGTCCTTTTTTTCAAAAGACATTTCAGTTCTGTGTTTGTAAGATTCATTAACATGTCGGAGATTTTCCTCTGTTATTTTACTGCATACATATTTAATACTTTCTTTAAGGTCCTCAATATTTCTTTGCCGCGTCTGATAAACAACTGATTTCAAATCACCACACATAAAAAAAAAAAAATCCAAGGGTGTGAAGTCTGATGACCTTGGTAGCTACTCAGTAGGACCTCGTCAACCCATCCATTAACCTCTATGGTGCAGGTTTATTTATATATATATATATATATATATATATATATATATATATATATATATATATGTGTGTGTGTGTGTGTGTGTGTGTGTGTGTATTATGGGACCTTACCCATAATAACATAATGGGCTATTCCATACGTAATAAATAGTGCGCCTCAAGAGGAAGCATGGAGTTTAGTCTGAAGTCGGACGACCGTCTGATTTGTTGAACTCTCTGTCCTTCGGGCGGGGAGGAACCCGAACGAGGCTACGCCGAAGGGCGGAGTCTCTTTCGGGGAGTTAAATCGACCCTGGACCCGTTTATACGGGTTCAAAGGGCATATTTTTGGCCGAGCCCACGGGCTCGGACATCCCACGTTAAACCGGCCTTGTGCCACATGATGCCCTCGTGGGGTGGGGGCGGTGACTAAATACTGTTCCGTCTGAAGTCTGAGTTCCGTCTGAGGTCTAGAGTTCAGTCTGAAGTCTGGAGTGAAGTCCGTCAGGAGTCTGTCAGTCAGTCAGAGCGAGTCAGTCAGTCGAGTCAGAGGCAGTCTGAAACAGAGTCGCGTTCAGACAATTACTACTAAACCTGATTGTTCGTACTAACACTTTCTACTTCTCTGTATATATTCCTGTTTGTAATATATCTGTGTTATTCCATATCCGCCTTCGAGTTCTTCTTTATTGGTTCTACCTTGGACTATCACCGTGGTACAAGGAACTGGACCATAACAATATATATACATATATATTGTCATGCACAGATTGACTGTTTCGCCGCATCACACCTCTTCAGTGTGGCTAGACATCCGATTGCTCCAAGCCGGGACCGAAACACGATCGATTCGATCAGTCAGAGATTCTACCCCTATCGTCGGGCGGCAGATAGGAAAGGAAAATTTAACGTTTTCTATGCGAAATACTGAGAGCTTAATTCAATTCGGTTGAAGAGCAATGAGTTAATAGATGTATGAGCCTGTTTTAAAAATTATCCTTTTCTCAAGAGAACTCAACCAGATTTTCCTGGAGCATATATATTGTCATCCACTGACACACTGTTTTGCTGTATCACAGCTCTTCAGTGTGGCTAGACGTCTGATTGCTTCCAGCCGAGATCGAAACCCGACCCATTTGGTATCAGTTAGATATTTCTACCCTACACGGCAAAGAAGAGGGGAAATTTTAACGTTTCTATGCAAAATACATCAGTGGCCTGGAGAGCTCAATTCAGTTCAGTTGAAGAGTAATAGAAACACCAGAAACACGTCACATTGAAACCTAACACCTATTTATTCTTTTTACAAACTGAAGACTGTGGAGAGTTTATAAATATTATCTCTAAAACTTTCAAATAAAAATCTGAATGAAACCAACTTAAAATTGAAAGCACGGTACACTGGCAGAAAACGGTAAAAAAATGACGATTATTTATTAGATGTTCAGCGATCGGAGACAATGATTAATTCATACATTCATGCAAATTCTAAAGTTTATCCTTACGTATACAAATTGGCGCATGTTAAATTATTCTCGTTTCCAACCGTTAATTGGTTCTATTAATATAATCAGCGTCAAATGAATATTTTTGAAATGATAAATAATAGAACTAATATGATAAGTAGTCAGACCATCGTTATGGTTGGGCAAGGAAGCCAATACGTGTATTGGCAGCAAAATAATAATTTCTTACATTTACAGGGATTTGATTTGTTAAGCAATGTCGTTGTAACACTGCCAACCCAAAATAATCGTAGGCGGGATACGTATTTGCACCTAAACAATTTTAGTTTATGAAATTATGCAATTCTATCGCAAATACATCATCAAGAGTTGAACTCTTATCATGTAAGATATTCTTAATAGATTCCATTTTGGAATCCTAGTTTCAGGGCAAAAAAATTAGGATTCGACAAAATAAAGTCTTAATGCAGTCAGACTTACGTTATTTCGGGCAAGACCCTAAGGATATATAACCCGGTAAAAGTGGGTTTCCATTACAATGTTAGAATCATAGACTGATTTATTTTTTACGGCTTGTCAACCTTTTGCAGGTTATTTACTGCCATAAAATATTTTTAGATTCTAAGATCTTTTGGAGATAATAATAATAATAATAATGATACAAGTCGTATTAATTAACCCATAGCTGGAGGGGAAGAGGTCGTTTTATATTTTACCCCAAAGTATTTGCGCGTAAGTGAATATAACGAACCCAACTGGAATTGGAACTCGGCTCTCTGTTTTCCAATTTCGAGCCGTTATCCATTACACTACCCTTACATACATGCTTACAGCATCTGATATTCCCAAGTGGTCACCCATCTAGGTACTGACCAGGCTCGACATTGCTTAACTTCGGTGATAGAATGGGAACTGGTATTTCAACGAGATATGGCTGTTAAAATCATAAAATCTGATTTGTGTACCAAAACAACAAAAAATACCATTAATCTCCTTTCTACACGTAAATCCGAGAGCTGGATGTGTAACCATTCTACGTATCGTTAATGATGGGGTTTAGTTAAATGGGACATCGCTAGCAATAAATAATCTTTTAGAACAGAAACATATGCAATAATTTGTCCTTTTTATGTAAATCCATATAAAATGTCTTAACCGTTTACAGAAATCAAAATTGATTCTGCATAGGTATTAAAATTAACTATTTATGTAAGAAAAAAGAAAAAAGAAAAAAAGAAAAGAAATACAATTTTTCTAACTCAGGAAAATGCTAGAACGCTCAAGAATTAACAACGACAGCATATGTCTAGAAAACCGAAAGTCAAAATGGCAACAATTGAAAGAAAAGAAGAAAAGGAGAGAAAAGATTATGGAGTGAGTGTAAAGTGAAAAAAAAAAACAAAAAAACAAAAAAAACGAAAAGGACAAATAACCTCGACATTCTACAGGTACACACATATGCGCAGACGAGCGCATGGGCACACGCATGCGGACGCACACACGCACATAAACGTGAATATAAAAAAGAAAAATCTAAAAGTATGAGCAGTCAATTGCTGATACCCACTGACGACTGGACGGAGTGATTCCTGGAGGATACGTTTACGAAACTCCTGAGTGGGGATGCTGAAGGTAACATCAATCAGCTAAGTGACAAACCTTATACTTGTATTAATTCTCTGTCTCTGTCTCTGTCAGTCTGTCTGTCTGTCTGTCTGTCTGTCTCTCTCTCTCTCTCTCTCTATATATATATATATATATATACTGACGGCTGTCTACTCAATTTCAAGCATGACCATTTACTTGCCTCTTTCATGAGCTTGAATACATTATAAGAAAGTAACTGTAACTTAGAGTGATTCTAATAACAGATACTTTTACAAATTAAATACCACATATTGAACATCAGCTACCATAATCCTGTGACAGAAATGTCCATGACAACTGGTGATAGCTTCAGTCGCAGGTTTTATTTCAGCGTTTCCTTCTCTTAGACTGTTAGCTTTCCCTATGCTTGAAAGACCAATCTATCCTGAGCTGTTGTGCCCAAGTACAGGTACCAATAGCACAATTTAGTTTTTATATCAGAAGTTCCTTCTCCAAGACTGACTGCTTTCACTACGGCTAAGGAGCCCCATAGATCATACATACATGCAAGATGATAAGTGTCAACTCGTTAATCGAGTATAACTATTTCTAATACATTAAATTTGCACACAAAGCCAAGTAATCTATAGCCAAGTAGAATATATCTGGCTTGACCATATTAGATGTTGTAACATTTGAGTTCCCTTGTTTTAGCCAATCATGCAGCGGGTTCGATTTCCTCTGAATACCGAATACTTTTGTCCTTATGTCAGACTAAGCTCTCAATTTCTCCATGGAAGAAAATATTTACCTTCTTATAAGTCTACCATTCGTCAAGGTTTTGAATAATGCTGTGACATCTGGTCTGATACTTCTGCTATTCCTTTAGAGATTCTTGATAACATACAAAGAAGAATCTGACCTAGCATTGCCGCTTCAGTGACTTTACCACTTTTGCCCTAACGTAGCATCCCTGTGCCTTTTCTATAAATATTTTCATAGTAACTGTTCCGATGAACTTTCCTCTAGACTTTATGAATTTAAGTGTACAAAGTGTAGATTGGCGGCTATGTCCCATCATTTTACAGTTGAAATGGCTAGATATGACCGTAACTTCTATGTTGACAGAGTCTTCTCACGCACTTCTTGCTTGAGGAATTCTCTTCCGTTTTTTTTTTTGGCATTGAGATTGGCGAATGTCGAAAATTTTAAATTTAAAACTAACATATACTCTCTCTCTCTCTCTCTCTCTCTATTAATTTCGATGTAAGGTTGTTAACATTTGTTGATTATTTTCCTACACACACAAATATCTATCTATCTATCTATCTATCTATCTATCTATCTATATATATATATATATATATATATATATGTGTGTAAAAGACAATAGGAAAACTGTAAATAGTTGCCGACGCGTTTCGTTCAATGTAGACTTTTTCAAAGCAAAAATGAAATAAATTTATTAAACAAATTAACTAATAATAACAAAATAAAAAGAATATTACCAAGCAGTGTTTCTTTACTTTTGATAACCAACATTTCAGACAGAAATTTGGTTTACCAATGGGATCTCCTCTCAGCTTGTCTATTTTGAGAATTTCTAGAAAGTGACAGATTCAAAAATATTCTCCCTACAAACTCTTCATATTTCAGATACATAGACAACTCATTATTAATAATTCCAAAAAACACCAATTTAACAGATCTTCTCTCCAAACTTAACAACATTGAACCTACAATAAACTTCACTTTCGAAACTGAAACCAACTACACTCTTCCATTCCTGGACATTTTGTTAATTAGAAATAATAACGAACTCAATTTTGACGTTTATAGAAAGGCTACAAACAAAAAAGATCTGATCAGTTTTTACTCAAACCACTTTTCTAAAATTAAATCTGAAATTATTATAGGTTTCTATCTAAGAGCATTAAGAATGTGTGGTCCCCAATATTTACTTAAAGAAGATACATAACATAGAAAACTCATTCAAAAACCTATAATACCCATATCATTTCATCCACAACGCAAGAAGAAAGGCATACAAAATATACAACCGAAATAAAACTAATAACATAATCCGCAATAGTAAATTACATGAAAACAAGTGCATAACACTACCGACCAACTCTGTTGCGTCCACTATCCAGAACAACCTATCCCATCTAAATAATCTTAAAATAGTCACAAACACTCCCAAAACCATTATGGATATACTCAAATCCTCGAACACTAATAGCAATAACATTTCTAAAGCTGGCATTTATAAAATAAATTTCCAAAACTGCTCCTCCCAATATATTGGAGAAACAAGTAGGAATTTAAAAAAACGCATTTATGAGCACAAAAGAGACCTCACAAAGAACAACTTAGCTAATGCACTAGTCATACATAGAAATAAATTCAACCACAATTTTGATAGAAAAAGAAAATAACTCACTCAGAAGGAAAATCCTCGAGAGTGCCACCATTGAATATTACCCAAATATTAATCTACGCCCAGGCTTTTTCCCTATTTCACCTTAACAGAATTACTACTCTCCCAAACAAATGTACACAACAGTATCAAGAAATCAAAAGAAAATGGTTGAATCCGTTAACACAGCAACAATATCTCCACACGTGACATAAATTTCAGTTAACAGTATGAAAATAGATTTCTCTAAATTCTTTCACTTGCTAAGAACATTTTGTTTTGTTATTATTAGTTATTTTGTTTAATAAATTCATTTCGTTTTTGCCTTGAAAAAGTCTACATTGGACGAAACGCGTCGGCAACTATTACAGTTTTCCTATTGTCTTTTACATTTATAAATATTGTCTTTTTCTACAGGCTAACTCTGAGAAATTTTTCATATATATATATATATATATATATATATATATATATATATATAAGAATAACTCCAATAAAAGTATTATTTGTGTGAAGTAGTTCTTTCTAAGTACGAAATGATTTATTCTTTTTCTTTTTTTATTTTGTCATTTATGAAATCCATTTATTATACTGCATAAACACAGAACATTCGATCCTCACTGAGTTACAATATTTGTATCTGTGCGCCAAGACAAAGTTGTAATCAGTAAACAACATAAATACGAAACCATGTGACTAGTTGGCCAAAATGGCGGCAATGCGAAAGAAAAAGTATACGTTCTTCTTTCGACGAAAAATATTAATTTAATGACGGAAACAAGTTTATTTTCTGTCTTTTTATTTTCGTAAAAGATAAAATTTTGGCTTTTGAACAAAATTTAAAAAATTGTAAAATTTTGATATTCGATTGTTTAAAAACTGATTTTTCGGCACAATTTCTTCAAAGTGTAAAGAGATGTAAACAAGAAGGATTAAATGATTTAAACCCGCAATAATCCAGAAAGGGAGAAACAAATCGAACACTATCCTCTTGAAAACAATATCTTTATCGATAGCAGAATCTCATTTCCAGAGAGACTACATAAATTTGTTCTTTAATAATAAGATTCTAAGAATTTGAACAGAAATATACTTTTCCTGCATTTCCTTAGCTTGACGCATTTGGCTCTTATTTTATTTAGTCAACCAGAAACTGGCGATGATATTCAAATGTCATCTGAAAATAATTTGCATCTATTTTTATAATGCAGTCATTTAAAAATAAAATAAAAACGAAAGCACAAAAACTCAGTTCACTTACAGAGAACCTCAAGTACAATATGTATTAATTGAAGCTGCTGTATTCGTTTGACTGGAATAAATCCTTAAGCAAACAATGGTTTTTTATTCAAAGTTTTCCTATACAACAAACATGACTTAAGTGGTAACTTTATCATTGTTTTCTCAGCAAAGGAAAAGCAAGAATATAAAAGACGAATGGATGGAACGAACCAATTCGATTTCTGATTTTGCTATTTCCATATTAGAATAAATTTAAAAAAATATTTTTTAGTAAGAATCACGACTCAGTTTCCTGATTTTATAAATTTTTGTATAAATACAAACTTTCATTCGTGCGAAGAAGTCAATCCTCATTTGAGGGATTCTGCTTCGCGCGTGATTGCGTAATTCGGATTGAGATGGGGGGGGGACTTGCGGAGCATCACCTTCTCTCTTTAATATGTATCCTAATAACTTTAATAAGGTGGTATTTCGTCCATTATAAAGTAAACATTAATTTGAAGGACTGTATTTTGTAGAAGAGACTTAATTATTATGGTCCTCCATGAAAATATAAAATTATATCTTATATATGAGCATTGTACGGCATTTGAAGACATTTGGATACGTGAAATGCAATGATGCTTGGTTGCCTCATGATGTAATAGAAAAAATAATGAACTGCATTTCCACCTGCGATTCGCTGATCA